TACATAGTGAGGTTTGCAGGCTGGGATGATGCACCGAAACTCTATCTCTTATTCTTTTTGGCTAGAAATCGCCCAAAAAGTAGCTCAAAATCAACAAGGGAGGATTATGGTTTTCTTGAGAGTGAATGGAGGTGATGAAGGCTGAGGGTGAACAAACCCTAACCTTCACTTCCCGTAAATTGGGGGAGAACTCTCGAAATTAGGGTTTGGCACACAAGGGCTGTCATGTCGTGACCCACATGTGGTCACGTTGTGACAATCCAATTGGATGCATGTTTCCTGGGGCATGGTCACGTCGTGACACACAAGTGCTCACGTTGTGACTAAGGCTAAATCTTTAAAATTTAACTGATAGACTAACATAAATGCTTACCTGGAGCTGGATGTTACATCCATCACCACTACCATCATCGTCGTCACCATCATCATCGTTACTGTCATCACCACCATCGCCACCACCACCACCACCACCCCACTTTTACCCCACCACCGCCACCATCATCGCTACCACAACTATTACCACATCAACCGCCGCCACCCCCACCCCCACACCTACCACTACCGCTACCGCTACCACCACATCCACCCCCATCCCACCCTACCACCACCATCATTTTCTAAAAATGAAAACCTACATCTAAACAAGTTTTATAATTTTTTAAAACCGAAAATGAAAATAAATAAATTTTAACTAAACGCGTTTTCTAAATTTTCTAATGAAAATTGGAAATGAAAACTTATTTCATTTTTCTGAAAATCAAAACGGAAAAGGAAAATTGTTTTTTCGAAACTAAACACAACCTTGATGTTTTATGTTTTTTTTGGGTTTAAACTTTAGACTTAGACTTCTTTATTTCTAAAAGCTACTCGGGTTAGAGCATAAGCTAGTGATGCTTTCGGCTACTGGACTTTTGCCATCTAGGGTGCAACATTCTACTGCTTCGCCTAGCAGCACGACACTTGTATTGCTCTCCCATAAACCTGTTTTCACGGTTTAGGCTGCTCCCATTTCGCTCGCCACTACTATGAGAATCGCTTTTGCTTTCTTTTCCTCTGGCTACTAAGATGTTTCAGTTCGCCAGGTTGTCTCTTGTCTACCCATGGATTCAGCAGCAGTTTGAAAGGTTAACCTATTCGGGAATCTCCGGATCTTTGCTTATCTTCAACTCCCCGAAGCATTTTGTCGCTTACTACGCCCTTCCTCGTCTCTAGGTGCCTAGGTATCCAATGTAAGCCTTTCCACGTTTGAACCTTGCCCTTAATTTTAAGGCTATGCCATCTTAAGGTGTTGCGTTCAAGGAAAAAGCAACCCCCTCGCCTACTACCGGTTGATCCTTAGGCCTGCCCCCTCTTCTTCCATCAACTAAATGGATTCTTAGATCTTATTCATGAGATTAAGAAAAAGAACTCTCGTGTGCGTCGGTAAATAAAAAACATGCTTTTGGGGGGAGATATACTATTTCAGCAATCGAGTAACAGGTATCTAACATATTCATACCTAAGGCTTTTCCACAAAGTGGTGACGAAACGTATAACTTGTACAAATCTTTCCATTTTCCAAGTCGATCCAATCCATTTGTTCGTAGAGCTATTTACCCGATAGCAAACATTTCTGGAACACCTCTAACAGAGGGACAAATAGTCAATTTATAGAAATAAAGAAACCCCTCATATTTTGCTAAGTTTTATCGAAAGCATTAGTTTATATAATAAAAGTGGATCAATGGTCATGTTTTAGTACGTTCTTTATCCAATAAATATTTCGACAAAGAACAAAGTCATCTAAAGCAAGACTAGAAGAATGACGGATGAACCAAATGTGTTTGCAACATACACTAGTTAAATACAAAAAAGCCATTCCAAGTTATGTATTTGAAACTCATAATAATCTACACTTAGTCGGTGTATGCTCGACGCTCTAAATACAAGGTGAACCTTGAAACCTTTTTGGATCAAAACATAGGTTCACTATAGTAGGGATGTCAAAAACCCTCGTGCGACCCCGATACCGTACGAGACTAATTTTTAAAAATTTTCGGAAGTGGGTTGGTAGCGGGATCAAACCTCGTTTATTTTCGGGATCGGGGTCGAGAGTGAGAATTTTCGTCCCGTACTCCCGTAGGGGCCCGTTTGTATATTGATATGAAAAAAATATATTTAATATAAAATATATATAGAAAACAGATTATCTAATTTTAGGGTTTCCTTCATCAATTTTCACTTAACACATACGGCTTCATGTCGACTTCTCTCATAGTCCCTCCCAAGACACCAAGACCCGACACCGACCATTCCCATCATCAGCTTCAGCGGCGACAAAGTAACCGACAGCCAATTGCCTGTAGCCTACCGACGCCCTTTCGATGAAGACGACGAGAGAATTGAGGTAATTTGTCGTTTTGTATTGACTAAACTAATATAACAATTTATATTATTGTTATTGTTATTGTTATTATTTATTTTGGGATGATATTCAAATGTCAAAAAATGAAAAGTTGAAGGCAATCGATGGATATTGATGATGTAATGAATTGGTCATATATTTTTGGAGATGTATTTTATATTTGTAATGTTAGATTGTCGTATTTTATATTTGTAAGTTTATTGGATTTGTCGTTTAGTAATGTTGGATTTTTATTTTTTTAGTTGCTAAAAAAATTAGATTTTAAGCTTTTAAACTTATGTAAAATAGTTTTTTTAGCTCAAAATATATCAATTTTTTAGAAAAAAATCAAATTTAAGCCTAAAAAATGGGGGAACGGGGCGGGATCGAGGGCGATGAATGTATTCTAGGCTATGTAAACGAGAGATTCGGAGGCGGGAGGAAGAGGCGGCGGCAACTTTTTTCGCTCCCATTAACATCCCTTCCCATGGTACCTAGTGGAGTGCAAGTGATATACAATCTAGTTGGGTTGATACCCGAGTTTTATACTCATGTGGAGCGGAAGTTGGAAATTCTGTTCCCTTAAGTTTGTCCTATAAAAGAGCTCAAACCTAGGGTGTTTGTTGAAATATTGCGAGTAGGTTTCCGCTTAATTTGTTTATGTTTCCGAAAAAAAACCTAGTGGAGTCATACACACCCCTTATGTGTATTCGATAGTACTTTGATGGATGTTTAATTTAACAATGTTCACCTTAGTCTTATGATAACCTATCGCGTATGAGCCAGACAAATTAGAAGGGAAACATTTCTACATATATGTAAGATAAATAACTATGGCTACATCAATTATTATAAAGAAAACAAAAATAATACTCCAAAATTTAGAAAAAACAAAATTTCTTTTGCGGGAAACCAAATTACCAATATCCTAATTGATCATTTAAACATTATATTCACTTTGGAATTTCAATATTTTTCAAGTTTTCACAAGTATAATGTCAAATGGATATGAATATCAAATACATGTATACATGTTTGAGTGATATACAAAAGATTAAGAACAATATTTCTCTTCCTTGAAACATCAAAACTCTTTATTAAAATCTCAAAAGTTTAAGAACAATCTTTTTCTCTTTTAAAATTTTATGCCTCACTCAAATATTGGTGTAAGTGTTTGTTGTTCTTATCTATTTGACATTTTTTATTCTTATAACTTTAAAGAAAAAATTGAAGTTTCTAATATAACTAAAACTCATATTTAATTGCTTAATTGATTTTGATCGGTATAAAAAGGACTTACAAAATAATTTTTATAATATTTATAAAAATATTTATAACACAAAGTACTAAAAGAGAAAATATAAAAATTTATAAATTATTTATCATATAATTTCCATTAGTCTAACAACTTTTTATAAATATATATAACTTTTGTGTATACCTCAAATGTTTGTACACGTGTTTGATGTTCATATTAACTTGACATTTCGAGTGTGAAAACCTGAAAAGATTGAAGTTCCAAATAAATATAATATCCATCAAAATATCTTCCATTTATTATAATTAAGATGGTTGTTAAGTCATATTTTAATGCTTAGTTATTTTTTATGAAGATAAGAAAGAGATTTAGAAAGAGATTTAAAAATAGATTTACAAAATAAACTTGCAATAACCGGTTATAATAATATTTTTTGAACACAGAAAATAGATTCACTGGTAAATGGTATACATAGGCTAAATATAAACAAAGTTAAAAGTTCATTACCTTCATAAATAATTTTTCCATTTAATTATTTCAAATGATTTTATAATTTTCTATATAAAACATGTAAGTGTTTATATTTATATAAATATTTTTTATTTAAGTATTTTATAATCATAGATATTTATTTATTTAGATTTTACATTCAAGTTAATTATTGAAAGAACAATTATTTTACATTTACTAAACGAGAAGATTGCAAAAAAAAATCACTATATTACTATACAATTTTGATTTTGACACCGAATTATTTTTTTCTCAATTATGTTATTATATTTACAATTTTATTGCAATATCAATCAAATAATCAGTTCTCTTTGTTCCTCCGGTAACCATTTTTCCCGGATTGCAGTAAAATCATTGATTTACCAAAATTTCAATTTTGACACCCATACTTAAAGGGTGTTTGGATAGGTAAAAAAAAAAGAGCTTATAGTTTATTGCTTACGCTATAAGTTAAATTTAAGTGCTAAAAATCAACTTACTGATTATTTCTAATCCAAACACTTTGTAAAAACTATCAACTCTCATCACTAATAAGCTAATAAGATATAAGCAAATTTTATCCAAACATCCTCTTAATCTTAATTAATGTTTCACACTCTAAAAACTAGGTGAACTTTGAAATATTTTTGGATCAAAACACATGGTTCATTATAGTCCCCATGGTACCTAGTGGAGTCATACACCCCCTATGTGTATTTGATACTACTTTGACATTTACTTTAACAACGTTTAGAACGTCTTACGATAACCTATCACGTATGAGCCAAATAAATTAGAAGGGGAACATTTCTACACATATGCAAGATAAATAACTATGGCTACATCAATCAATTATTATAAACAAAACAAAAATAATACTACAAAATTTAGAAAAAAAAACATAATTTCTTTTGCGGGAAACCAAATTACCAAAATCCTAATTGTGCGCAGTCCTTAAACCCTACAAATATGGCGTGTAATTGTTGAAGAATAATCGCTTCCCCCTCCCCATTCTGAAAAACCTTTTTAATACACCCAAAAATGGAGCCGGAGAATGGCCTCGGTGACGGAGAAGGGAATCGAAAAACGGTTTTCGTTGACACTAGCCTCGACACTCATCTAGCTACTATCGTGTCCGATTCCGACACTGTTTCCGATCTTAAAGGTAACATTCGTAACCGGTTTACCCTAATATATATCGTGTAATACAGTTTATGAACACATTTTGTATTTGAGTTTAACCTAACTTCATTTTCATATTTGTCTTCGGTAGAGAAGGAACATCGTTATTTTGATTTGTAACTTATACTGTGTGTGTGTGTAAGGTTCCATGAACAGAGCTTAGCTTCCAGTCTGCATGTAATGGTATATTGCTCAGATTTAATAGTTGATGTGAATTTCACGATTTTTGAGAACCAATGGGTGACGGAATTGAATTTTGTAACTGCTAAGATCATCATTACATTTGCTTATGTGGTGCAAAAAAATCCTATTTTGCATTACAAATCTGTTGTTCCATATAAGATTAGTTTGGCCTCTGTATTATGAATCAGTTTATAATACACCAATACCCTTTAGTAGTGTTAGGGTTCCAACAATATGAAAGTTTCAGAGTAGGTTTAAGCTCATTTTACAGAATATCTGTTGGTGTGTTGGTAGGGACACTGAATGCCCACTAAATGCAGATTTTGATTCTTATCAAAACGTTTATCATGCTTTTTTGTTCAGGGAAAATTATGTTAGAACATCGTGAGTGCTTTCCTGCCATTGGAGATATTAAAATCCATTGTTTGAAGGTATTTTCTTCCTATAACATTGTGTAAAGATTATCAATCTTGTTTCTAGCTTTTCATCTGATAGAGAATTGAGATTGATAGAATACTAGCTTATGTAAGAAAATTTTGTAAAAAAACTGAAATGAATGGAAAGGGAGATAGTTTCTATTGATAAAACGTAATCAAAACCAATCATACGATTGTCCAGGGAGTGGTCCCTCTCTCACAGAGCATGAATACTCCTGAGCCAATACAAATATAACAAAATAACCAGATGATCAAAACAAAATATTCTCCTCCCTTTTATTCTCTTCTCACGCCCTAACCAATTTAGCCACTTTCCGGATTTCCCCTTTTTCCCCTTCTAGAATACACTCTTAGTGGTCCCAATGTGCTCCCTTTACTGATTGTTAGACGTGTATCTGTACCTTCATCCTTCAAACTTCTCTTTTTTTGTGGCAGGTAAAACGTAGAGGAAACTATTATCACTTATCAGACTCTATGCTTGTTAAGAGTGCATTTAAAGATAGTCAAAAGAACTGGTTTCTCTCAGTAGATGCTTCTCACTTAGAGCAATGTGATGGCATTCAACATAAGCCAGGGGATCAACTAGCCTTGCCTTGGGTAAAAGAGGGTCGTTCCATTGATACACATGATAGTCAAACTCAAGCAGAGGGACCTTCAAAGCTGTCTCTCATCCATGGATCATCATCAAAGCATCCCAAGATTTTTGTTCCCTTTGTGAATCAGAAACTCCCTACTTCTGATGGTTCCTGTAAAAAAGCTTCAAAGAACATCGAGGAAGATAGGTCATCTAATCTTGAACCAAGTTTAGAGCAGCAGTTGGATCCTAAAGTAACAGAGAAGTTATATACTGTTGTTGATAAGGAGATAAAATCCAAGAAAAGGATACGTGAAGTGCATAATGAGGAAGCTTCTGTGATGAAAAGACGTAAGACTCAGAGGACAGAAGGAGATGCAAAAGCTCTAGAAGAGAATAGAGTTTTAACAAATGATGCTGACAAGGTAAAGAACATGGGAACAAGCATAAACGATGAGAACTCCATTGAAGACAAATCAAAAAGTAAAGATGCAGCTTTGGATGGTGTTGTTAACAAAGCTATGAATGATGAACATACAAGAACCATATCTGTGAGTCAGAAGAAGCCAAAAAGAACTAAAAAAGGTAAAATCTCTGCTCTTGATCAAGTAGCCATTGTTGCCCCTTTGAGTGTAGAAGATGTTGGAGAGGCAACACATCTTCAAAAGAACACAGAAGAAACTGAAGTTATTCCTGATGTTCCAATGGTTATGGAAAATAATATTCAACAAGATATGCCTTTTGAATCAAAAAGTAAAGATGCAGATTTAGATTGTGTTGTAAACAAAGCTATGAATGATGAACATACAAGAACCATATCTGTCAATCAGAAGAAGCCAAAAAGAGGTAAAAAAGGTCAAACCTCTGCTCATGATCAAGTGGCCATTGTTGTCCCTTTGAGTGTAGAAGCTGTTGAAGAGGAGACACATCAGAAAAACACAGAAGCAAGTGAAGTTCCTCCTGATGTTCCAATGGTTGAGGGACAAAATAGTCAACAAGAAATGGCTTCTCAATCAAAAAGTAAAGATGCAGCTTTAGATGATGTGGTAACCAAAGCTATGAATGATGAAAATACTAAAACCACATCAGTGATTCAGAAGAAACCAAAAAGAACTAGAAAAGGTAAAATTTCTGCTCATGATCAAGTTGCCATTGTTGCCCCTTTGAGTGTAGAAAATGTTGGAGAGGAAACACATCATCAGAAAAACACAGAAGCAAGTGAAGTTATTCATGATGTTGCAATGGCTGTGGAAAAGAATATTCAGCAAGAGACTTCTCAGAAGGAGAAATGCAATGAACTTGTTGAAGAGGCTGATATTGGGAATGAAATACCTTCATCATCAATGCGTAAGTCATACATATGATACCTTTATTATATCTATATAACTTTAATTTTCTCAATATTTGTAGCTGATTAAGTTAAATAAATGTCTTTTCAGAAGGAGTAACTACTGAAGATGAATTGCTAGTGAAGCATGCTGATGATCTTGTGGTTGACATTTCTTCAACTGTTCCTACTCAAGTCTTTGATGAGAAAACCATTGATGAACAAAACAATGATAAGACTAACATAATTAGTGAAGCTTCAGAGAAAACATCAATGGATGATTCTCTTAAAGTTGATGATCTGATTGTGAAAGAGGTGAAGATTGCAGAAGCAAAATCAAGAAAGGAAATCAAAGAAAGAAACAAGAAAAAAAACGTTGGAAAATCTTCAAAAAAGGATGAAGTTATTGAAAGGAAAGAAACATCAATAATAGATGATGATTTGCATGTTGATAAAGACGATGAAGTTTCAAAAACTAGTCAACTGAATGCAGAGATTTCAGAAAAGCAGAATGAGAACATGGATGATGATGCACAGAATATCAAAAGAAAAAGGAAAAAGAGAAACAAGAAATCAGGTGCTGATGTATCTCAAACAGATGATGATAAACTTCAATCAAAAGCTGCACAAATTGAGAAAAGTGAAATTCCTCAAGAGACCTCGAAGAATGTGACTCTATCTCAAGCTCCCAAGGGCAATGATGTAAATTCTGATGTTGGTAAAGGATCTCATGAAATCGACTTCATGGACTACTTTTCACCTGATAAAACTACTCCTCTTGACAATGTTGAAAATAGGAAAGACACTAAATTGTCTGTGAAGGAGAAGAAACCAAAAAGGAAATCAAAAGAACAACAAAATGGTAATGCGAACAAAGTCTTCATTCCAGAAGCTTCTACAGATGGAGGTGTGGTAAAAGACCGAAATGCCCCTACTGTTACTAAAGTAAAAACCCAACAAAAAGACGATAGGGCGATTCAATCTCTTTCAAGAAATGAAAACAACAAAGCCTTGTCCTCAAAGAAGATTCCAGAAGCTTCTACAAATGGAGGTGTGGGAAAAGACCAAAATGCCCCTCATGTTACTAAAGCAAAAACCCAAAAAACAACAACAAAGATTGATGCTGTGAAGATTAACAAACCACAACCACAACCATTTAGTGAATCGGACTCGAGCTCAGAATCAGAATCAGAATCATTTGGCAGGTCTTTGAAAAGTCAAAAAAAGATTACAAAACAGCAACCAACTACTCAAGTTAAAAACTTGAAGAAAAATGTGCCAGGTGTCAAGAGTTTATTGAGTACACCTGGAACAATATTTGGGGATAACAGTGATGATAGTTCTGCTGATGATAATGCAATCATAAATTCAGATTCCAGCACACGAACTCCATCAAGAAATCCATCATCACCAGGGGAAAGTGATTCCAGCATAGACTCCAGAAGATATGGTAATTTGATTTTTATTATTTTATTCACTAATTTTAATTTATGCCACATAAAGCAGCATTGATTTTTATTTCGTTTTATGATGATTTCTTTTGAATTTGTATCAGAAGTGAAAAGAAAGGAAGGTGGTGGAAACAACAACATGAACTCACAGTAAGTTTGGTGATATACAGTTTGTTTCCCATTTCTTGCTTGTTGTATGTATGTTTAAGGGTAAAATGGTCATTTGAACTTGTATGATATGATAGGAGCAGGTTGAAGAACATATCAATGTCTGAGCTTTTGAAAAGTTCAAGTAGATACAAGAAAGCCAGATTCACTGCTGCATCACAGTCGCAGGTCAATGATACTGAAAGTGAGCCTGTTGACTTTGTTCCAGAAAGTCAACCCGTGGCTAAGAGATAAGTTTAGGGGCATTTTTGTCTCAAGTTTTGGTTAGGAAGGAAGGCTACTTTTTATAATTCAACAACTTTTTAGGTTTAATTTTGATTTTGTTTCTGGTTGCTGTCTATTAATATTTACGAGGTTGAGGTTGAGGATGAGGGCATTTATGTCTTTTGCACATACGAGGGGTGAGTCCTTGTTTGACCATTTTGAGTTGGACAAAAAATAACAACTTTTGTTCCCTTTGTTACTTGAGTAAATTACACGAATGGTCCCTATGGTTTGAGGTTATTTGCACGTTTGGTCCCTAACTTAATTTTTAACTCGGAAGGTCCTTACAATTTGTTTTTGTTGCGTACTTAGTTCTTGTCTTACCTAAAAAGACTATTTTGCCATTGATTTTTTAAACCCATTTAAATATCAGATCTGGCCCAAGGCAACATTAGCATCATGTCTCATTTAAACCCATTTAGGTTAAAGAGATAAAATAGTTTTTATTTATTATTATTATTTTTAAACATAATTTGGTTTGAAAGAGACATGATTTTAATGTAAAAATACTTGAATCTTATTTTTTTTTGAACTCCTCTTTTGTTCTTCTGTCGTCATTGTCCTTTCAAATATTTTTTAGAAAACAAGTATTATTTACTTTGTGGTTGTTTCTTTTAACCCCCCGTTGATCATTTTATCCATATATTTGAACCAACAATGTTCAAAATACCAGTAAATTATGACAATATTCATCAAATCCAACAGAGAAAAGCTTCGAGGGAAGAAAGAAAAGACAAATATAAAAATACACTAAACCTGACTTTTTTAGCTTAACTTAACCCATTATTATCCGAGTTATTTGCTAAAAGGACCAAATGTGGTCTTCGTTTGACCAACTTTTATCAGCAAAATTAAAATTGACTAACATTTCCATGTAACTATGGCGTATTTGTGTAATAACGTCTTTTGAGTTTTCACATAACACAGTACTGATAATAGCTCAAGATTAGACATTTTATTTGGGAAAACTATATGCTGTTAACTAGCTATTAACATAAGTTTTTGCTAACCTCTCAAGTAGAACTTTTAAATACCGTATTTATATCGGCTTCTTCCCAATGCAACCGTTACAATAATAATAATAATAATAATAATAATAATAATAATAATAATAGATTTGGCTTAGCAATAGTGTCATCAATTTAAAATAATAATAATAATAATAATAATAATAATAATAATAATAGTGTCAGCAATAGTGTCATCAATTTTTTTTGAGTAAATTATTGAAATCGTCTCTATGGTTTGGTTAAAATTGCACGTTTGGTCCCTAACTTTTTTTTTGCACTCGGATCATCTCTGTGGTTTGATTTTGTTGTATTTTTCGTTCCTGTGGTTTGATTTTGTTACGTTTTTTGTCTCTTACATACATAAAGTTAAGGACCAAACATGCAATTTTGACCAAACTACAGGAACGAAAAATGCAACAAAATCAAACAACAGGGACAATCTGAGTACAAAATAAAAGTTAGAGATCAAATATGCAATTTTAACCAAACCACATGGACGATTTCAGTAATTTACTCATTTTTTTTTTGTGAAGGGTAGCCAAATATATTAAACACAAAACAATACAAAACTAGCAAAAAGCTAGCAACAAACACAAATTAAGGCATGATTGGGTTTTGTAACCACGTAACCCAATTGATCCTAGCCTTAGAGTTACGAAAAGAAAACTAACGAAACAAAGATTCAATAACATAATCAACATTTCTTTTTAGGATTTGAAGACAAAATTAGACCATTCGGATATCTCCATAGCACTCAAATATTGACTAGGAAAATATAGTCATGATCGTTCGTTCTATCCTAGCAATCGACCGTGCATCCACCCACTCCATCTTTTCCCAAACTGACGAAAAGGAAGGAATAAAGCAATGTGTCTCCATAACTGTTTGACAACCACACAATGAAGAAAAATATAACTCACATCCTCTTTATCATTAAGACAAATGACACAGAATGGAATCCAAATTAACTCCCCTTTCCACCAATCTAACCTTAACCGGAATTCGGTCAAGAAGAACATGCCAAAAAAATATATTATTTTTTTTTAGGGAGAAAATGATTCTATCTGGTAGGGCGCAAACCCGAGGGGAGTCTCTCATCATCAATTTTTCTTCTAGTCGACCTCACTGAAAACAAACCCGAGGGATCTAGGTCCCACTCCCATTCTGGGATCGAGTGGAGCTCAATGTCTGAGAGTAAAGCCAACAAAGTGTTTAACTGTTGAGACTCAACACCATCTTTAATAGAACGCCTCCATAGAGACGATTTCAATAATTTACTCACATAACCAAGGCATTTTGACAGGTAGACAATGCAAACAATCTATGGAAACGCACTTTTAAGTGAAGTCCCGCACACCAAACATCCGTCTAGAACAAGTTCTAATTACCATTACCAATAACTCTATGCATACAGTTTTTAGGAATAATACCGTATCATGTAACTGATTAATAGACCTTACAATTTTTTTTCCAAACACCCCCTCCAATTACTGGGCGAGAAGTATCCAAGAAACCGCCACTATCCCCATAAATGAGTTTGATCAGACGAACCTAACTAATCCAATGAAGGCGGTAGTGGCCATGTTCAAAACCCCAAAAACAAGAACACGAAAAATAGAGAAGAAATAGATACCAAGACTTCCCAAAACATATTTGGTTAGGGTCAAGTTCCTTCCACTAGAAAGAAGCTTCATTTTCCAAGATGACAACATCTTCTTAAAGCGATCCACTATCGACTGTCATCCCTTGACTCGAACCATAGATTCACCAACCGAAATCCCAAGATACAAAAAAAGGAACGAATTCAGGTGGCATCCGATAAAAGGAGCCAAAGTAGCAACCTCATCACCACTAATTCCAACCCCATGTAAATTAGATTTAAGAAGATTAATTCTTATACTTGAGATCAAATAAAAACACCTCAAAATACGAATAAGGCCCGCACATTTTCTTCATCCCACTCTCCTAAAAATAACATGTCATCTAATAAAAAAGATGAGAAAAGAATATGTCATTAAAATTCAAAGGAACGCCACGGAATACTCCTTGCACTACAACATCTTCCATAACAATATGAAGACCCTCCATGGCGATGATAAAAAAGAAAGGGGATAGAGGATCCCCCTGATGCAAGCCCCTGAATTGAATAGCTGGAACTCTTCTCTAGGGCACCCATTTAACAAAACCGAAGATCTAGCATCAGAGAACATAACCCGAACCCAAGATCTCCACCTCTCTCCAAAACCCATGAATAATAGTAAGATTCTATCCAAATAATCCCAATAAATAGAATCATATGCTTTTTCAAAATCGACCTTAAGCATTATGAGTTTCTTTTTTCGTTTCTTAAACCACCTGGTCAGTACATTCACCATAAGAGGACCATCTAAAATCTGACGTCCTTTAAGAAAATCAAATTGTTCTAACCCAATAACATCTTATAGCACACGAGCAAGCCTATTAGCTAACAATTTTGCAATGACCTTGAATTGAATACCGATAAAACTAATAGGACGATAATCGGTAATTAACATGGGACTGAAGACTTTTGGAATAAGAGTAATAAAAGAGGAGTTGCAACCAATAGGGAAATAAGGTCTAGCAAAAAGTTCTTGAACAAAGGCTATGATATCATTACCCAATAAATCCCAAAAGTGTCCGATGAAGCAAAAAGTAAACCCATCTGGACGTGGAGCACGATCCGAACCACAATCCCACACCACATTTTTTATTTCTTCTACCCTGAAAATAGACTCAATAGAAGAAGCAAGAGTCGGATCAACAATTTTGAAACTGTGACTTCTACGATCCATAGGAATACCTTGAAACGGTTGAAATTTGGCTGCATAATAATCAAAAAAAGTTTTTTTTTATTTTTTTATTTTTTTATTTTTTTTTTATTTTAACAATACGAGGTTCAACAAGTCATTCCCCATCCAAAGTAACACCTCTAATCAACTTTTGTCTTCTTGGTTGTTTTAACAAATCATGAAAAAAATCGAATTTTCATCCCCTCCACAGACCATTTAACCTTCGCTTTTTGAGCAACATGACAACATCCAACGACTTAGTTTTTTCTAACTTGGCGATATCACCTAAGATACCTAACCGTTCTCCTATAACTTCATCAAATGAGATGCCATCATCAATACCTTTATCAATCTCCTTCAAACGCACCAACAACCAACAACCGAGAGTTATCCCCATCAAATTGATCATTGTACGCTAAATGCCAACTCCTAATTTTAGTTTTAATAAATTTCAGTTTATTTTTAAATAAAACAAACTTACTCCATCTGTCCATCATGGATTAACAACAAATTTCGATGCAACTCCAATAACAACATCATCAAAGCCTTCCACATGTAACCAGGAGTTAAAAAACTTAAAGGAAGACGGCCCATAGTCAACCGGATTACAATGCAACAAAATAGGGCAATGAACAGACCATTTCCTATCTAAAACAAGAACTTGTAAATTTTCGAAAGCCTAAAAAAATCCTCTGAAACTAAAAAACAGTCAAGTTTGCAGAATTTAACACCAACAACATCGATTCTCGGAAACCTCTTACCAATCAAAGGCACATCAACAACTCCAAGATTATCAATCATAGGCACTATGTTAAAATATATTTTAAGGAATTGTGCTTCTACAATATGGAGCACACATTATTATATTTGACTGTCCATAATTAATTAATCACCCTCCAAATCATTTTCCAAAAACAATAAATAAATAATTGTTAGTCGGTTAATCTAACACCATTTGAGTTGAATTCTTTTTAACATTTTAGCAAATTTGTTCGACTCTGTTTTACCATCTATTGAAAGGAAATTTTAATACTAGATGTTTGGTTAAATAAGTTAACCAGAAAGATCAAAATTACTAAAATATAAATAAAGAAGCAAACAGGAAATAGTTCAATTAGATTGTGACCATGATCATTCATTTAACAAATATACGAATAGCAAGACAAGAAACATAATGAACTCATACGACTAAAACGTGTTCAAAATAACATAGTAATGTGTTATAAATCTTCTATTTATGTATCGCTCAATAAATTATCATTTTCTTTTCCTAAACACCACCTCAGTATCCAACCCGAAACCGTCAACTTTTCTAGACCGAACAAGATCCGACCCGTTAAACAACTTCTTCAACGGTTCAATGCTATACAAATCATTAGCCGAATACTTATCCGACCGTCTAGAAATTGCCACGTGTAACACACAGATTCCACCAGGCTTCAACGTCCGTTCAATCTCTCCAATGAATTTATCTGGATAAAGAGCATGGTCAAACACATTCGAAAACTCAAAGTCAAAAGTCTTATCATCGAACGGTTGATGATGAAAATCACCCTTGATCACAATAGGCGGGTAGGGTACAAGATCCAACCCGATTGAATCATTAACTCCGACCTGTTTCAAAGCCTCCACTTCCTGCCCGACCCGAGCTCCAACACAAAGAGCCTTTGATGAATTTGCGAGCAGTTTTTCTTGTTTTAATTGGAGAAAAAATTGGGTGAAAACCCGAATCTTTCGGTCCCAATCCCTGGAGGTCCATATTTTTCGGAGTTTTGGGTTGGTGGTTTTGTGAAGCTGGTGGTGGATGTAGGTGTCGTAAGAGGTGTATCCGGGTCGGATCTTGAGGCCGTTGATGGTGATTGTACGGTGGCCGGAGTTGGGGTGTTTGGATTGTAGAGAGAGAAAGACGAGGTAGAAAAGAGAGAGGAGAATTAGAGAGAGAAAGAAAGCTTTGGGTGTTGATGATTTTGGTGGGTTGATTGCTTCTTTCATGTCTGCAGCTGCAATATTATTTGCATGATTTCATCATCATCAATCTCTCTTTCTCTCTAGAAATATTTGCTTCTCTCTCTTGATCGACCCTTTAAAATATTTCTACCGAGAAAGTCTTCTAGCAATGTTCCACTTCTCGTACCATCAAACACTCTTTTTCTTTCTGAAAACTGTTTTTTTCCTGTGGTTTCACCTCTCTCTAAATCCCTTTCTGTTGTCTCTCTTTACAAATGTTCGAAGGTGTTCATGGCAACTGTGTGTTTTTGTGTGTGAGAGAGAGAGAGAGAGAGAGAGAGAGAGAGAGATTAGTAAAGAAAAGAATGGACAAATGGGCGATAAAACAAGAAAGCATGCATGATGATATATGGTGGAAGAGAGATGGTTGGTTAAGCATAATTATCACTTGTTTCCTCGTTTTATAAACTTTTTATATATATTTATAAAAAAAAGTATAACTGTTTTTCTCAATTTGTGATATTTGACATGCATAATACACGCTCATTTCGAGTCTTACGCTCATTTTGAGTCTTACGGGACGAAGTTCAAAATCGGCTCGTTTAAATAATACATAAATAATTTAGGCTTAAGCTTGGGTTAGGTTCGGCTCGTATAAAGTATATCATAATTTTTTAAAATAGTGTTTATTAAATATTTATTTATTTTAATAGCTAAAAGTAAAATTCAAAATATTATATATATATATATATATATATATATATATATATATATATATAGGCTTGTTTAGGTTCAGGAGTTTAATTGGGGTTAGTAACACAAGCTCAAACTCCAAATCTTAAGCTCGAGCTTGCCTCCGCCTCGTTTAAAATTGATTTCGAGTCAAATTTTTAACAAGTCGATCTCGAGTAGTTTACGAGTAGTTTGACTCGTTTGCATTGTTTAACCAGTTTAAACGTGATTGGTTTTTCTTGAATTATCTAACTTCTGACAGTTATGTTCACTAAAGGTGATAGACACAAGTTTTTGTTCGCTTTGGTCGATAAGCATCTGTTTTCAACAGATTGCTTGGAGCATATCATACATCGATGCAAGCAGAACTCAGTGGCTGACAAGAAGAACTTCACATACATGCTTCGGTGGTATATTACGTTTCGACATCATATTCTGGCCATTATACCGAAGGTGTTTAAAACAGTAAAGAAGCCTTCTGTTGTTAAGAAGGAATGAAGTTTCTGCTCCAAGGACGCAAAGGGGGAGATTGTTGAGTATATTTGTGTTGCGTCTTGGGCTAAGTATTTTGTAATCCGGATTGGGCCTGTCTATCCGTGTCTATCTAGATTAGTTACGTAATTATCTAGATTGATTGTTAGGGTTATAATATATATATATATATATATATATATATATATATATATATATATATATATATATATATATATATATATATATGCATGCATGTATGCGTATACTAACAAGTTTTTCATTACGTTGATTTTTGTAACCCTAAACGCCTCTACAGATTGAAGTTCTTTATCGGGCTCTTCTGAGGTGTTAATGCATTAATCATTCGACACATTCAGCGCAATAATTGTGTTCTTATTACGTTCTTATTTTATATCTTGCTTAGAATCATACGATCCTAAAAGAACTTTGTTCTAACAATTGGTATCAGAGCAGGAGACTGTGTGATCAATACACATTCCTTCTGTATACGTAATTCTTTAGGGTTTCCGCTTTTATCGTATAAATAGAAGCCATCGTCTTCATATCGATGATAACTCTATTTTTGATAAAACCCTAATCTCAAGTTTACAGGTTTGATTCTGAGCAGCTCACCATGTCTCAAGAAGATTCACATACAAACCTAATTAACATCTCAAACATCATCGGATCAACAACTAGAGTACCCATACTCTATACTAAAGACTATGAAGTATGGGCTCATCACTTTGAAGATTACGTTGTTGAATCGGAAGACAATGACTATCTCATCTGGGAAGCTATCACTCTAGGACCGTTTGTACATTCGGAGACAAACACGACTGTTAAGACGCAAAAAGATTACAACAAGTTGGTGACAGATGTTCAAAAGATGCCACAGGATGAGAAGGATAAAATCTTGTGTAACGTATAAGCCACGCGGATGAAAATTTTCGCCCTGCAATCTGACACCTTTCGACTTGTAGGTTCATGCACAACTGCAAAAGAGATCTGGGATAGGCTGAAGGAACTTTACTCAACTGATGAAGATCTGGAACACTCCATTCAAACTCTGTTACTATCAGAATTTGGAGTTTTCGAACAGAAACCTGAAGAGAAGCTTGTACAGATCTTTGATCAATTCAATCATCTCTTAAGTAAGATGATCAAGCATGAGATAGAGAAAAAGCTGATCGAGCAGAAAGTAGCGTTCATGAATGGACTGAGACCAGAATGGATGGTTGTGGTTTCCACTGTCAAGGCGCATGAACAGTTCAAATCGTACTCGCTGGCGAAACTAGTAGGGATACTGAAATCCCATGAAAGTGTTGTAACTAAGGCAGCGAAAGTGGTCTCTGGTATGGGATCGTTGGCTCTTGTTTCTAAAGGAAAAAGTATTGCTGAAAAAGAAGAAGAAGAAGAGTCAGACATGTCAGAGTGCGAGCTTACAAGTGAGGAATATGCCTTGATGATCACAAATCCAAGGAAATTCGCAAGGAGAAAATTTCCCGCCAACAAGAATCGAAACTGGCAGGGAAGCTACAGTTCAGAAAAGATGAAGGATGAACCGAAAGTCTCCTCTCAAAAGGATGAAGAGAAAAAGGAGAAGACGCTTGCAGGAGACTCCAAATACGACTGCAACTATTGTCACGGCAAAAACCATTTTGCCAAAGATTACATGTTGAGAAAGATGGCTGAGAAGAGAGAGGGTGAAGATGACAAAGCGTATTATATGCGCAAATTAGAAGAAGTCAAAAAGAAAAAGGCGTCCAGCAGCTCAATGAATGCCTTAATCGTACAGGAGAACGTTGAGGAAGATGAGTTTGGTGGCGTAGAAGTATGGTCAACCGACTCTGAAGACGAAGAGGTTAGAAGACCCACTCATGGAAAGGCGAATGTGGCAAAGAATGAAGGTTCGGGTGGAAAATGTTATCGTCACTGCTGGTCCATCAACCGAGAGTGCAGATTCGGAACCGAACCTGACTGAAATAAGTGTTTTGCGGCCAAGCCAGTGAGTGAGAAGATCAACGACTGCGATCGATTGTTCAAAAAGGTACATTCTATTCTTGAGTCTCTTAAAATTTCAGAAACTTATTATCAAGAAGAATTAAATGAATTAAACTCTAAATTCTCTAACCTAAGTAGAAGCCTCATGCAAACCCGCTTAGCAAATTCTAACCTAATTGACCAACTCGGCAGGGTGTCTTCAAAAAGTGAGGATAGGAGAATCTGGATTGAGCTGAAGGAAGCAGAGTTAGTTAGGGCTAGGGATGAAAGTATTTATTTGCAAAGAGACAATTTAAAGTTATTAAAACAAAGAAATGTTTTTTGTTTGATTGCTAAGCGTCTTTATACTAATATTGCTCAATTACATTTAAATTGTGAAATTGGTAAGAAAATTCATAAGATGATTTTGCCTTTTCTTGAATTTAAAGAAGATGAAGTTATAGCAGAATGTGAATCAGAAGTGTCCTCTGAAGAAACGTCAATGTCGTATAGGCTAGGTTTGGATAAGATAGAAACTTTCATCGATTCTAAGGAACATAAAAGTATGTTAAAAGATATCTTAGATGAAAATGATAGGCTAAAGATTAAAACTGAAACTATACATACATTCGACTTGTCAAATGCTAAAATTGTTAAGGATAATAAAATAAACTTAGATAATTCGTCCGAATTTGATGCGAAAAGCGAGATTAGTGAAATCTTAGTAGAAGATGAGGTTGATTGTTCTAAGTTTATGAAAAATGAAACCGAGAGTGAAAAACCTCTAATATCAGAAAATTCGGTTGAGTTTGCTCATCTGTCAAAAGAACAGAAACCAAAACTCAAGGAAAAAGCTTTGGTTTATCAAAAGGTCCAGACCGTGCCAAATTAGGTTTATGCTGCGACTGGAGTCACTCAAAACCAGACGGTAGAATTAAGAATAATGGTTGACGAAGATAATGTTGTAGGTTGCGAAGACTATTTCTGGTCTGCTCCTATTGATAACGCAGATGAAACGGTGGGACTATCTGAGAAAACCACATGGAGAGTCAAGGGTAGATACATACCAGAACCTCTCAACAAACCCTCCAGTTTCGATATTTCAAGCACAAGTGGAACCAAAGATGTTCCTAAAGAATCGATGGTTAAACCTGATATTCCTATCAAGACGGAAGAACCGAAAGTTCTGCTCAAGAGAGAGGAAGCACCGAAAGTTCAAACTAAGTTACCTACAACCCACCAGAAAGAGAAACCAAAGGCAAGCTTCAATATTCACAAATCTTAGAAGGAGCTAGCTGAATAGAAACGCCTGAGAAATCGAAGATACGCCACGAATCTGAATAAACGTAAAAGGCATTGGAATTCTCAAAATCCCAACTATGAGATTCCCAGGAAAGAATCCATGGACAAGGGAAACGAAAAGATGAAGGAAAACTGTAGTCCAAATTCCTATTATTCCAAATCCCAGAACCGAAAGTCTAGTCTCGGTCCTGAATCCACTTTCGATCCTCAACCAACTTTCGGTCCTCGACCCACGTTCGGTCCTCGACCCAGATTCGGTCCTAAAACCAGATTCGATTCTAATTCTAGTTATGGAACCTCCAAATCCCAAGATAAAACAAATTCTTTAAAGGATATCAAAAGAAAAGGAAAGTTGGTATTAGATTCTGAGAAGGAAAATAAGAAATCCTCTGCTAAACCTAGGAATCAAATGAAAAACACTAAACCATCAAAAGCAACACCAAATGATACACTAAAATTTAAAGAAGATAAATCAAAAATCAAGGTGTATACCATTAAAAGAAAAGATCAAACAACTCTAATTAAACGAACTTATTTGGTTGATGCTTCTATTG